ATTTTGCCCATAGAGCTACCCAGAGCAATCTGATAAAAACTGTGCTGACCTCATCAGAATTCCTATTCAGATTACTAAGGTAGAAGGAATTATGTTGTGCTATTTTTCCAGAATATAAAAATCAGTTTAATAAGGCTTTCAGCTTAACTAAGTTTTTTTCTTTCCCTGCATAGTACGTGATGTTCCTTTAGAAGGCGGACTCACAACTGCTGTATATGATCCTATTGCTACAGAAAACAGGACCACTACAGAGGGTACGGATTTTTAAAATCAGTATATAAAACTTATCAGATTGATGCACAGATTTCTCATAAACTACTTCTCGTTTGACAGGTTATGACAGAGAAGGAGTCAATTTTTTTGGCAAAACTTTGAATCCCGGAGAAGCAAGATTGATATTTGCAGCCCTTTTTTTCATTGGACTTGTTCTACTGACAACAATATTAATCTTCTTCTGCCTCCTTACGCGCCAAGAGAGCAAGATCTATTATAGCACTCTGCATGACAAAAGCCCACTTCTGACGGATTCCCCGTAAATTCCCACTTCCAGCATCATTCGCAGAGCTGCACTGGATTTTGTTGTATGCTGCCAATAAAACTGAAGCGAGACATATGTTGACGGTCCTATCCTGTAGCCAGCACTCACAAGAGTGAACGTGAGCCGTAGGGTTAAACTCCGCGAGCCATACACCACTCCTCTCTGTTTCTGCTCCTCTGAAGCTCACTTGAGCTTTGCCCAAGATCAGATAATACAATGAAGCACCACACCTCTTGGCAAACGCACCAGGTGCAAAGGATTTTCGTGGGAGGAAGGAGAGGGCAGAATTGTATCTGTGTGCTCAGTGATTGGCACTGGGTTCACACTAGCTGATATTACGAGTGACTGCTTTAAGTGTGCTGATTGCTGAAAGCGCAGATGTAAATCTGCAACTCCTTATGGTATTCCAAAGGGAAACCGGATTTACACCAGGCAGAGAGCAGAATCAAGCGCGAGGAGTCTAATGACATTTAAGAGATTCTCCCTTTTACCCTATTAAATGAGGAAACTGCACACTGGCAATGGATTTTTAAAGGTATTTAGATACCTAACATTGTAGCTTAGCACCAAAGTTCACCGGGTGTTAGTTCCCAATTGCTTTTGTTAATCCCTTTAAAAATCTAGCCCTGAGCAATCAACAGAAAAGTTATTTGATTTTGTAATTGCTGCTCATTGTGCTCCTGATTCTGCAACTCTTCTTTACACCAAGTAGTGCTCCAGTCCCAAGTTTTAATGAGAGCATCAGGAGGCTGACCACTGCCCTCTGTGAGGAAGACTGGCAGAATCAGGCTGTACATAGTGATACTTGAATATTTATGGTTCATTTTTAATTAGAAAATGTTTATTCTTGCGAGCCAGCTGCTTACATCCCCTACAGCTCTTGCAGAGGAACTCCAGAACAAACACATTCTTCAACCTGTGAAACTGTTTATCCACGTTTGACTTTCAATGTAAATTCAAGTTGCTGTTTTTTACTTTATTTTTTCCAGTTCTGTATTTCGAAATATGTTCAAATGTAGGCAACTGTACTGCCCATCAGTCTTATTGTAGCTTAATGGTGCTCTGGATTAGTGTCCAGGTAGCCAATACATAGAAGTTTCTTGGCTGCTTCTCAGTCATTTCCTGATTCTTTGTTTTCCTCAGTCCTGTACAAGCAGACACGCACCACAGACGCATGCGGCGTGTGAGGCGGAACTGCAGGACTGAGCCCAGCTCGGAGTTACATCATAGCAATAAGCACTTCCACTATTGTTTTATAAATCTCCTCTTCAAGTAGACAAAGACGGATACTGTAAACCCTTTTCACTTTCTGTTTTATAGAAACACTAGCATCGAAGTCTCCTGTGCAAAAAACACTTATGTGTACAGAACATTTGCTTACTGTATACATATAAAATTAAAGCCTTTCACTTAAACATGCGCTGTTAATAAAGCAAATTATTTGGTACTTTCCTTTTGGAGTAGCTAATGGATCTGACTTTAAAGCAGAATCATAAATATATTTTGACTACATTGATGATAAAAACCTAGCTATTTGCATGAATCTTCTGGGACAGTTTATTTATCTGGCATATTACCAGACAGTGGTTGTGAAACAGGAACGAAGTGCCCAAAGGTCCTCAAGGACTCAGGAAGTGCCATGCTGCTTGCACAGATGACAGCCTGCCGTGGAAAGGACAAACCCCAGCGTTAAGCATCACCTGCCTGCACGGTGCCCAGCGTGAGGACTGTGCAGCTGGCCTCATCCCGGAAAGCCGGTGGGGTGTTTTGCCAGACGAGCACAACTGCATCTTCAAGTGGGATCCCAAATAAACTCTCCAAACAGCACAAACTGCACCTGCTATTTTAGGACACGAGGAGTGGGAAAGGCCTGTGGGATCAATCAACCGTCATAACAAAGGAGGAGAACTCAGAAAAAAACACACCAAAGGCAGGAAATGGAAATGTGTTTTTTAGTCTACGTTCAGCATGGGAGAGCTGGGAAAACATCTGTGTCAAAGGATCGCATCCATATCAGACTGAAGCACCAGCAGAGGCAGAGAAGAAAGCAACACAAAGAACAGTCGCTGTTCAGAAGGCGGTGCATCACTAACCTTGGTAGCAGTCTCAGTACCAAAAGCTCCAAAGTTGACAAATATGATACCAACCTTTAAAAACCGTGCCAGAGGAGATCTAGGGGACTACAAATGGTTAGCCTTGACACCCACACAACGCAAGCTGGTAGAACTATTCTAAAAAATGCAAAAGTGGTCAAAGGAACAAAACAGATCATAGAAAAATCAATACATTTTTTGTTAAAGGAAAGTGTACCTCTAAGAGGTTTTTGAAAGACTCATTGTGTAGATAAGAGACTTGGATGAATACAGCCTGCTTGAATCTCCATTAGACATTTGAGAAGGACCCTAGTTATAGAGCTTTTTAAAGAAATGAAATCACCGTGGGATGTGAGAAAGGGTTCACACAAGCTAAATAACTGCTTAAAAGACAGGAATAAGTAGCCAGCTTTCACACGACTGAAAGTCATTCATGGTGTGCTGCAAGGATCCATGCTGCTCCCTATAAGTGATGTGGAAAAGGGTGACAACGTTTAGTGACAATTGTAACTACATGCAGCATGAAAAATGATGTCGAGTGTAAAAAGCTGCAACAGAACCTTGTGCTACTGAGTGGCTTAGCGATAAAAAGATAAAATATAGTACCGATAAGTTGAAAGTAGCACTTGTGGAGGAAAGCAATGCTAGCCTTATGCATAATATGTAAGCTCAGAAACGAGAGCTTAGAGGTAAAATAGTTTTATGACAATGTTAGCTCAATGCTTATTAGTAGGCAGAAAGGTAACTGAACATTAGGAATCATTAGGAATTAAAAACAGAGCAATCCAGGAAATATCATTGTACTGTTATATAAATATATGGTGCACTTGCATCTTGAATAGGGTCATATCCTTGGGCCTGTCCAGAAAAGGATACAATAGCACAAGAACAGCACAGAAACAAAAGGGAATCAGGATTATAGAATGCTTTCCAAATGAAGAGTCATTCGCTTGGATTAGGGCTTGGCGGCATAGGAAGGACAACTGAGAGCACAGAGGATAGTGATTTTATAAAATGACAGTTGTGTGGAGAAGGGAACAATTTGTCCCTTTGGCAGAAGCATTATGGGCCACCAATGAGCCAGGGAGGTGGCACGTGCAAAGCACAGCAATGGGGGGTAGCTCTGGGCAGGGTGGACAGTGACCTCTGCAACTCATATCGTCTGGTGGGGTTGAGGATGCTTGGTGTTTACAGAGATCCAGAACGGAACTGGAACAATATATGGAGTGGCGGACGGTCAAGGGTTATTAAATATGACGGCCCCTCACTGGCTCTCACAAGAAAGCGACCAGAGGTGTGAAGACCAAACGCTGTGGGTGGAGAAAATGGCTACAGCGCATAGCTCTAGCTTGATTAAGGGCTTGGAGCATTTGACACAAGAGGAAAGGCTGGGGCTCTTCAGCCTGGAGGAGAAAGCTCAGGAGGATCGTATCAATGTGTATAAATGCTTGATGGGAGAGTAAAAAGATGGAGCCAGGCTCTTCTCAGTGGTGCCCAGTGAGAGGAGAAGAGGCAGCGGGTGCACACTGAGATGCAGGGAACTCCACCTGACTATAAGAAAGAAGCTTTTCCGCCGGAGGGCTGAGGACACACGGGAACAGGTTGCCCAGGGAGGTTGTGGAGGCTCCATCCTCGGAGATACTCGGAACCCGCCCGGACACGGCCCTGAGCCACCTGACCCCGCTGGAGCACGCGTTG